CATCGTCGATTTTTTAAGGTTCTGGTTGCATTTCCAGACTGCATTGTTACATTTGAATCCACTGCCGAAAGCAATCTACCAAATCCGGCCGCCTTTATTCATCCTCCCTTTGGATTCAATGTAGTTGAGTTCGTATCAGAGCGAAGAAGACGATGTGTTTCCGAACCAGTGCAACGTCATCCTGGAGGCCTCCACGTGCGCCGACGAGAGCTGAAGGTTCTTCTGGAGATCGTCGATCACGGTCAACAAACGGTCAAATAGATGGAGGACCAAATCGTGTCAAAATTACAAAGTTAAGGACTTAATTGGTTGAAATTGAAAGTCAGGGACCAATTTGTGAATTTAGCTATAGTCCAGGGACCATTTTGGGTATTTACTCTTACACAAATGGAATGTTTGGAGAGGTTTTCTCGGAGAGAGAGTGGAGAATGATTTTTTTTTAAAAAAATAACTACTTAGGAAAGGCTACTGGACGCGTGGTCATGGTGAGAGTCTCACCATGAGTCTAGATCTACCATGTAATCTTAAAAATTTAAAATATATAAAATAAAACAACATATTATCCAATAATCAATATGAAAATGTTCACATTCAAGTATTTAATATTTAATAAATAAAATAACTTTAACTGTCCATCCATTTTATGAAATTACATCGTCATTTAAAATTTATATTTGATAAGAAAAGAAAAGATTTGGATTTTGGAATATTCTACAGTTATAGAAAGTCATTGAAATAAACCTAACAGTTATTTTCTATAATTTATAATGATATCAACTCAAATTATTTGACCAAATATCTTATGGTTTGATAGCATCAAACCACGTTCATTCGGCATAATTTGTTGAACAAAACTCAAACCACTTGTAATAAATAAGAATTTTAACTATTTCATTATAATGTCAGTTTAGGTCTGTTTGAAAATATAAAAATTGAATTTTGAAAACATTTTTCTAGACTCTTTTAATGTTGAATTAGCTTTTCAAGGGGAATGAAGTGAACGAAATCAACCTATTTTGGTCAAACAAGAAGAGACCCAGTTTTGCAAAAAATATTTTTCACTATTTTTTACTAGAAAGATATTTTTTAGATCTTTCTCTTATGCTCGGTTCTCTCTCTGAGTTCTTTCTCACTACTTTTTACTAGAACATTTAGTAAAAAATGATGACGTTTTTTTTTTTTTTAATAAAAAAACACAGATTCAATTTTATAATCTTAATTATAATAAATCCATATGGTCTTGTGAAAATTAAATGTTGATATTAATGGTTAATTGTTGGTATTAATAATATTTAATTTTCACAAGACCATATGGCTTTAAGAAGCATGCATGCACATCATACATGCAACCCCAAAGTCCATAAGTTTGAAATTAATATATAGCATAGCTAGGCGGCCTAATATTTAAGATTGTTGATGTGCATATCGAGGACTACGGTTGTGGATTCATCGGATGCGTTATTCGTGGATTCATCGGATACTATCCAACAACACTCTCCAACTTAATTGACGTGAAGTAGGCTTAGTAACATTAAGATTATATTCTCGAATTATTAGTTCTCATCTTTTATTGATTACACACTTAATTCGATAGTATTTGGAAGAAAAAATCAATGTTTGAACTAAGATTGTGATTGTTTGGTCTTTAAAGGTCAATTGTATGTTGCTACATCTAGAGTTAGAAATATCAAAGGTCTAAAAATTTTGATCCGTGGTGACTCTAAAATTGTAATTCAATTACTATTGTAGTTTACTAAGTTCTTAAAAATTTGTATATTAAATACTATGTACTAAATTTTTAATATAGTTTAAGATTTGTAGTAATCACCCACCTTAAATATTATTTTAATTGTAAATATATTTATGTTCATAATTTTATCATAGGAATTCACACATAATAATTATTAAATAACAAAAATTTTATATAAGAATAAACTTCATATAGGGTATATTTTTATAACATATTTTCCGTGCATCGCACGGGACAAATACTAGTTATTATAAATTTTTAAGTTTATAATATTTATAAAACTAATTCCATCATTTCCCCCCTTATTTTTTAACAACTTTCAACTGTTGATCTACCCAAATCATAATATCATATCAATAGCAGTTTTTAGCTAAGTCCTGTTCGTAATTCAACTCTTCTATATATGTGTGGGGTGAATATTTATCAAGCATTTACTATTAGAAGTCTATTATCATGAGTATTCGTTGTCTATTATTATTAGTATTCGTCTTGTAATAGGTTTACTATTCTCTTTACGTCGGAGTGCATGGCTCCGTCAAGATAAGGCCGTGATCTCCTTGTTGATCTCGTCCTTGTCCGACGGTAAGTCCACCTCTCGGCATCTACGGTTGGCGATTGAACAAGTGCTTGGCTCGATGACACGGGCTCGTGCTCTCCGGTTGGTGGGCGAATTCCAGGGATTGCGGCAGGGGGATGCTTCCATCCCGGACTATCTTGGCCGTGCGCAGGTGCTTATCGAGGATTTGGCGCTTGCCGGCCGTCCGGTGATCAACTTAACACAAATAACAAATGTGAAGTTTGTGTTGAGGCAAAACTAACGAAAGTACCTTTCAATCGGTTGAAAGGAAACTGAACCACTAGAATTAGTCCATAGTGATTTGTGCGATTTTAGATCGATTCAAACAAGAGGTGGTAATAAATATTTTATCACATTTATCGACGATAGCACACGTTATTACTATGTGTATTTGCTTAAAAGCAAAGACGAAGCCTTGGAAAAATTCATTCTTTATAAGAATGAAGTTGAAAACCAACTTAATTGTAAGATTAAGAAAGTTAGAAGCGATAGAGGTGGTGAGTACGAAGCACCTATTGGTGACTTCTGTGCTAGTGTAGGTATAATAAACGAGTGCACGACACCTTACTCACCTCAAACGAACGGTGTTGTCGAACGAAAGAATCGTACATTGAAAGATATGATGAATGCGATGCTTATAAGTTCGGGCCTACCTCAAGATGCTTGGGGTGAGGCTATTTTGACAAGTAATTACCTTTTAAATAAGGTACCTCGCAAGAAGCTCGATAAGACTCCTTATGAGCTATGGAACGGTCAGAAACCTTCCTACCAGTACCTGAAAGTGTGGGGGTGTCTTGCTAAAGTTTTGGTGCCAACACCTAAGAAAGTAAAGATAGGTCGCAAGACGGTGGACTGTAGCTTTATTGGCTATGCACATAATAGTAGTGCTTATCGGTTCTTAGTACACGAGTCCCATAATCCGGACATACACGAGAACACGATAATAGAATCAAGGAATGCATCTTTCTTTGAAAATGTATTTCCTTGTAGGTCCAACGAGGGACCAAGTACGTCAAAACGAACGTTTGACGAAGCTATGGACAATGATAGTGGGGAATCCGAGAGAGAACCCGAGCTCGAGCCGAGACGCAGTAAGCTGGCGAGAGTTGGAAAATCATTTGGTCCTGATTTTCTAACTTACTTGTTGGAGTACGATCCGAGTACTCTAACTTGTTTATTAGAAAATGAACCCGATTTTCTATCTTGTTTGATAGAGAACGAGTCTCGAACGTATGTAGAAGCCGTGACTTCTACAGAAGGACCAATGTGGAAAGAGGCTATTAAAAGTGAAGTGGATTCTATTTTACAGAATCACACTTGGGAACTTGTTGATCTTCCTCCGGGTAGTAAACCCTTAGGATCTAAGTGGGTCTTTAAAAGGAAGATGAAACCCGATGGTTCCATCGAGAAGTATAAGGCTATGCTTGTAATCAAGGGCTACAGGCAACGCGAGGGCCTTGATTACTTCGACACGTATTCTCCCGTGACGAGAATAAACTCCATTCGGATGATACTTGCCATAGCCGCGTTGCGGAATCTGGAAGTTCATCAAATGGACGTTAAAACCGCTTTCCTAAATGGCGAATTAGATGAGGAAATCTATATGGAACAACCCGAAGGGTTCGTGGTTCGGGGCCAAGAAAGGAAAGTGTGTAAGTTGGTTAAATCGCTATATGGTTTAAAACAAGCGCCTAAGCAGTGGCACGAGAAGTTTGACCATGCGATGTTGACTAATGGGTTTAGAATAAACGAAAGTGACAAATGTGTCTACGTTAAGGAAACGTAGACGACTATGTCATTCTTTGTTTATACGTAGATGATATGCTCATTGTTGGTAGTAACGATCGGATGATCAAGTCTACCAAAAACATGTTAAATGCGAGATTTGACATGAAGGATATGGGTTTGGCTGATTTAATCCTCGGGATTAGAATCATTAGAAGACCTGATGATCTTGTGTTGAGCCAATCACATTATATTGATAAAATCCTTGAAAAAATTTAACAAGGATAATCATCAAGGGGCTAGGACGCCATTAGATCGAAGCGTTCATCTAACTAAGAACCACGGGGAGTGTATTTCTCAAGTAGAGTATGCTCGGGTTATTGGTAGTTTGATGTATCTAATGAGCTGTACTAGGCCAGACATTGCCTTTGCGGTTAGTAAACTCAGTAGATATACGAGTAACCCCGGTGCCATGCACTGGATGGCAATAGTGAAGGTTCTGAGATACTTAAGGTATACTCGAGACCTTGGACTGCACTATGGGAGATATCCTGCTGTACTTGAAGGGTATAACGACGCTAGCTGGATATCTGATATTAAGAACTCCAAGTCCACGAGTGGCTACGTGATTACACTAGCCGGTGCAGTCGTTGCATGGAAATCCTCTAAACAGACCGTGATAGCTAGATCCACGATGGAATCTGAGCTGATAGCCATGGAAAAGTGTTGCGAAGAGGCTGAATGGCTACGCCATTTTTTAGAGGATATTCCTAATTGGGAAAGACCTGTACCTCCAATGTGTGTGCATTGTGATAGTCAAATGCAATTGGAAGAGTACAAAATCATATGTATAATGGTAAGTCTAGACATGTGCGTCATAGACATAATACCATTAGATAACTTCTCACAACTGGTGTAGTCTCGATTGACTACGTAAAGTCAAAAGACAATATAGCGGATCTGCTAACCAAAGGGTTATGTAGAGTAGCTGTGGAGAAGTTGAGACGAGGAATGGGTCTAAAGCCCTTGGTATAAAGTTCTATAGTGGGCACCCAACCTAGCTGGCACCTAGGTTCAATGGGACAACTAAATTATGGAATGGAGCGTGTCACTGTAGGGGTCTCGGATTCCCAACCACTCCTCGTTAGAAACAGTGGCTCCCGCACAAGGTTAGCATGTTAAATGTATTAGTGATTCGAATGTGATGGGTGTCGAAATCAACAAATAATAAATTACTTACTCTATAATTTGCAATAGTGATGAGTAAGGTCGTACCCACAGAGATTGGTCAGACTTCTTTTTAATCAAAGATTCAATGAAGAATGAGATGGGAATTGTAAATTAAATAGCAATAATAAAAAGGAAAACAATACAAAATATTAAATAATCAATATCAACTAGTATCCAACTCAAGGAATAATATCAATTCAATTCTAACAAGACAGATCATCGATTTCCAAGAAATAATTACTTAACGCTTTACCAAATTGGTTATGGTTATTAACAAGCTCTAATAACCTATCTTTCCTTACTTTGTCGATAATCAAAACAAGCTCTTTGATAACTTCCCTAGCTAATAAACAATCCTAAACAAGCTCTTAGGATTTAATTTACTAACAGCATTAAAAGAATTAGAAGATTACCAATTCTAGCCAACAAACTCAAAAGCATGGTTCATTTAAACTAGACTATATATCTTCATAACATAAGATTGAAAATCTAATTTATAATCAACTATGTTATTTGCTACTAGCTTTAGAACACTTAAACAATTACGGATTCAAAGTTCTAATTAGCAATATAATAACTTGACAATTGAACAATGGGCCCTTTGCAACAATTAATCAAGCAATAATTTAAACTCAGATAACAGGAGATATATAAATAATAAAGTTCAGAGAATAAAATTAAGCTAAATAAATCTCACTGGTCTTGTAGAATCAAACTTCAATAATCCTTGAATTGGAAAATTCGAACTCAGCAGTACATTGCAGAGAGTGTTTATAGTAAAATAAAGTGATTCTGAACAAAACTGACTATGCTATAGTGCAAAATTCATCCCTATTTATACTAGTTTAGGCTCCCTAATCAGCTCAAAATAGCCCTAATTTCCCTAACATCCACAAATAAAATCAATTTCTTTCAACCACATAGAACCTAGAAAATAAATAATCTTTATTTTCCTAATTTCTAAGAAACCACAAAAAATCAGTAGAACAAGCTCCAACCTCTAATTCATTTAATTTGTCCGTACAGCAGCAGACCACAATTTGAAGAAGCCACAGAAAGAGTCGACGGCAGTTTACGGACGGAGCGCGCAGTTCGTCTTCATCGCAGCAGCCTACGGAGTCGTCGTTTGTTGTCTACGTACGTAACTGAAGTTCACGGAGAAATCGTAGAATAAATCGTGCCGTTGAAGCTGCTCTCTGGTCTTATTTCTTGCGCACATAATTCACCTAAAAGAAAAGATGATTAGTTTATAGAATTTGGGCTTATTTTAGTGGGCCAATTAACTACTAAGCCTATTTAATTTTTCCATAAACTAATTAAGCTCAACACTTACTAATTTGTTGATTAAGCCTAATTATTCAACTAATATTATATTAGTACAAAATATAAAATAAAGTTTAAAATAAATATAATACTAAATAAATAAAACTAATTTATTATAAGAATTAATCTAAATTAAATATATAAATAGTGCTTATCAAAACTCCCCACACTAATCATTTGCTTGTCCTCAAGCACAAACATTATTCAAGAAAAATATAAACATGTAATAACTCATAACACTTCATGAACATCGGTCTCAAACACATTATAAATAGTTAGTTAGCAGTTTATTTGAAAATAGAGTGAACTAAGTAACCAAGCTCTCACGGGAATATCACTCATAACGCACAAGTGTTTGAAGGGTGTGTGTATTTCACTCAAATCAATACCTATAGAAATGCTCTGCCATAGGCTTGCATATCTTCTCATTCTCTACTACAAGATAACATGCATGATCAAATCATAAGGACTTTTTCATGGTTGTAATGGGACTAGGGTAAAGGGTAGGAATTATTTTGGAAAGTAGTTCAAAAAGCCTTAAAAACTTAGAGGAGCATGATTGAATGAACTAATAATTCAAAATAAAGACCAAGTGAACCAAATCTCTCTTGTTGTTTCGACACTTCAATCTCCAACCAAATAAACTATCACACCCCCCATAAGATAATAAACTATTTATACCTTATTCAACATGAAAAATAATAATAATAATAATAATAATAATAATAATAATAATTCTCTTTTTTTCATTCTGCCTTCCATATCCTTTTTTCCTTTTTTTTTTCTGCTTTTTCCATTTCGTATTTTGCATTTTTTTCTTTTTTTTTTTTGTTTTTTTTGTTTTTTGTTTTTTTTTGTAGAATCACAATTTCCATAGAATACTTCACCTTCTTAGTTTAGGAACAATCTCGATTTGAAATAATTACATCAACTCATTTCCCATTATCTACCATCTTTTCTTTTTGAAAATACCAACCAAAGTCTAATGACCAATTCATTATTCTCAGTCATAGATACTTTGTCAACATTTTTCCCACACTCAAATCTTTATGCAATTCCTCAATCAAGCTCCCCTAATCTTTTAGGCAAGGTTAAGGAAATCAATGTCAAGTATAAGGCTTATAATGTGGTTCCATAGCAAAAACAAACAGTTAAAAAGCCTCAAAGTGGCTGACTAAGGATAAATCAATCATGGTATGAATAGGCTATTTGGCTAGTGAGGCTAAAAATCAAAGATGGCCTTAATCATATTAAAAATCATGCATGCATCAAATTAGCTTTAAAGAGAATCAAGGCAAGTTCTAGAGATACAAATCTATGGAAGATATCACACAGGAACAAAATAATTGAACTGAAGTGTCAGTTAAAGGCTCAAAAATCTCACAGGTTCATGCTTGTTTAGTTTAGCCACCACCATATCAAACAAAATACTAAACTAAATAATCATAATATGCAAGACCAATTATTCAATTATGTCATGAATTTAGTAAAAATACTATATTTTTTGAAAAATTTATTATTAGTTAGAAGGGAAGAATTAAATCATGAATAATAGTCCCCTCCCCACACTTATTCTTAACATTGTCCCAAATGTTAAAATAGAATTAAAAATTAAGGCATGTAAATAATAAAGAATGTGTTTAAAAGAATGGAACAAACTCCCCTTGTCATAAGTAGCATGTCATTGGTTGGACATCATCTCTTTCAATCTTCATAAACTGGGCACTGCAGACTAATTTCTTCAACATTATATGCCTGAAAACCTTCATAAAATGGCTTTAAACGATGTCCATTAACTTTTAAATTTTTTCCGGTCTCTAAACTGTGTATTTCAACTATTGGAGTTTTGTAGGCCGTTCGATAAGCCCATAAAGCATCATCAAGTCATGTACTCCAATCTTTCATGTTCGGGTTAACAGTCTTCTCTAGTATGGACTTAATTTCTTTGTTTGAGATTTCTGCCTGTCCATTGCTTTGTGGATGGTAACCTGTAGAAACACGGTGAGTAACATCATATTTTTTCATCAATGCTTCCACCACTCTGTTGCAAAAATGAGTTCCACGATCGCTTATTATTGCTCTTGGCATCCCAAACCTAGTAAAAATATTAGATTTAACGAACTCAACAACAACTTTAGCACAATCAGTCCGGGTAGCCTTAGCTTCAACCCACTTTGACACATAATCCACAGCAAGAATAATGTAAACATTATTGTAAGAAGAAGGAAAAGGACCCATGAAATCAATACCCCAAACATCAAATATTTCACAAACAAGTATAGGAGTAAGTGGCATTTGATCCCTATAACCCAAATTTCCAGTTTTTTTGACATTGCGCACATGTTTTGCAAAACATATAACAATCACGGAATAAGGATGGCCAAAATAAACCACATTCTAACACTTTACGAGCAGTTCTTTTTGGACCAAAATGTCCTCCACATGCATATGAATGACAAAAATTCAAAATGGAAGGAATTTCTTCTTGAGATACACACCTTCGGATTATTTGATCAGAACAATGCTTCCACAAATAAGGGTCATCCCAAACATAGTATTTAGCATCACTCTTAATTTTATCTTTCTGAGATTTAGATAAATCAACTGGTAATGTTCTAGTAACTAAATAATTCACAATATCAGCATACCAGTGAATCATCTTTTGAACAGAAAAAAGATGTTCATCAGGAAAATCATCTTGCAATGGCGAAGGTTTTTCACTTGTAATTATCCTACTAAGATGATCAGCAACTAAATTTTCTGCACCCTTCTTATCTCGTATCTCCAGGTTAAACTCTTGTAATAAGAGCATCCACCGAATGAGTCTGGGCTTAGCTTCTTTCTTTGAAAGCAAGTACTTAAGAGCTGCATGGTCAGAATAAACAATCACTTTAGTACCAAGCAAATATGAACGGAATTTTTCTAAAGCAAATACAATAGCTAAAAGTTCGTTTTCTGTTGTGGTATAATTGCTTTGTGCACTATCAAGTGTTCTTGAAGCATAATAAATAACATGTGAAGCCCTTCCAACTTTTTGGCCTAGTACAGCGCCAACTGCATGATTGCTGGCATCACACATAAGTTCGAATGGAAGATCCCAATTCGGTGGCTGAATTATTGGTGCAGATGTTAACATATCTTTTAGCGTATCAAAAGAATCTTTGCATGCTTCATCGAACTCAAATGTCACATCCTTTTGCAACAATCGACACAATGGATTGCTAATTTTTGAAAACTCCTTCATAAATCTCCTATAGAAACCTGCATGACCAAGAAAAGAACGAATCTCCCGCACACTAGCAGGGTAAGGCAAAGATTTAATAACTTCTACCTTAGCTCTATCCACTTCAATCCCTTCAAAAGATACCACATGCCCCAAAATAATACCCTGATCAACCATGAAGTGACATTTTTCAAAATTTAAAATAAGGTTTTTTTTCAATACATCGTTCAAGCACTTTAGTGAGGTTAGCTAAACAGGCATCAAAAGAATCACCATAGACTGTAAAGTCATCCATGAATACCTCTATAAAAATCTCTACAAAATCTGAAAAGATACTAACCATACACCTTTGAAATGTAGTAGGAGCATTGCAAAGACCAAATGGCATCCACCGGAATGCAAAGGTGCCAAACGGGCAGGTGAAGGTCGTTTTTTCTTGGTCTCCAGGTGCAACTGGAATCTGATGAAAACCTGAAAAACCATCCAGGCAACAATAATGGGAATGACCTGCTAAACGTTCAAGCATTTGATCAATAAACGGGAGTGGGAAATGATCTTTTCTAGTTATTGCATTTAATTTTCTGTAATCTACACACATTCGCCACCCATTTTGAATACGAGTGGGAACCAACTCACCATTATCATTTTCAATCACTGTTATACCTGTTTTCTTTGGGACAACGTGCACAGGACTTACCCACTTGCTATCTGAGATTGGATAGATGATACCTGCATCAAGAAGTTTCAATATTTCTTTTTTAACCACTTCCATCATGGGTGGGTTCAATCGGCGTTGGGCCTGTTTAGAAGGCTTACACTCATCTTCTAACAATATCCGGTGCATACAAGTAGAAGGGCTCAATCCCTTAATGTCAGCTATAGTCCAACCTATCGCTTGCTTATATTCCCTAAGCACTCGGACCAATTTTTCTTCTTCCAATGTAGATAGTTTTTTGGAGATTAACACGGGAAGAGTCTCTTCATCCCCTAAGAATGCATACTTTAAATGATCTGGCAATGGTTTCAGTTCTATCTTTGGAGCTTGAACAACAGAAGGAAGGAGTTTTGTGTCAGATATAGGCAACTCAATATAATAAGCATTATACTTCATTGGCTTAAGTGACTCCAACTCATGTACAATATCTTGCAAATCAAAATTCAAAGAAAACTTATTCATGATCTTCTTCAACCCATCAGGGGTAAGGTTCAAGTTTAGTGCAACCTCTAAGG